TTATTAACTGTGAACTCCTGTAAAATCCAAAACAAGTTCCAGACCTTTTTTTTTATTCCAATAGGGAAGGACCAGACTACAGTTACAATCAAACCAAAACAAAACCAACACTTAATGGTATGAAAAGCTCAATGTCCATCTGGGTCTCATTCATGATTTCCTGGGCTCTGGATGAATTGGTTACATTCACCTCTCCAGTTCTGCTATCCACAGCACATAGCTTGTCTTGTCAGCTCGAGCCAGCTCTACTCCATACCTGCTACTGTCCTTGCCAGATGTCCCATGTTGTCAGCACCTCCTATATTCTTAGGACTCCATGGCAATACCTTCCACAGTGGCCTCAAAACTTCAGCTTCTCTCCATGACCCCTTCAATCCTGAGATTTTCACTGCTCTTGAGGCTGAACCTTCACCAGTATCCTGTCCTGGACACTGGATTCTCGTGGTGCCAAACCTTCATGCCTTCAAAACCAGTACCTCCTTACACAGTACCAAGCCCTCCTGCCAGCTTGAGGTACAGCCTTGGCCCCCTCTGGACCACAGTTTCTGTGTGCTGACCCAAACAAAATACCTCCGAGAAGGTTTCATTTCAGTGATGCTGGTCTTTTGTTGATTCTTCAGTCCCAGATAGACAGACAGATTCGCCACTCAAAATATCACATGAATGGCTCCAATAGAGTCTTTGACTCTCAAACTTTCCGTTAAAGTTTCATAAGCTAAGCCTCCACTGTCTGCATTGCCCTCAGCACCCATATATTCCAAGCTCCCACAGAGCAGCCCATTAAAACTCTGAGCACTCACTGGCTTCTCTAGTCCAAAGCTTCAAATGCCTTCCACCATTGCCCAACACAACATCATCATGTCCATTACAGCAACACCCCTCGGTACCAATTTCTGGTCTAGTTTGCTTTTTGTTGCTGTGGCAAAAATAGTGACCCATAGTACCTTCAAGAGCAGAGGGGTGGAAGTTATTACAGATTACAGTTGGTCATTGAGGGAAGCCAGGTAGGAAGTTGAGGTAGGACTTGAAAGCAAGAACCAAAGCAGAGGCCACAAAAGAATGCTGCTTCCTGGATTGCTCCTTGTGGCTTACTCAGCCATTTCTTTCCTTCTTTCTTTCTTTCTTTCTTTCTTTCTTTCTTTCTTTCTTTCTTTCTTTCTTTTTGTGCGGGGGGGGGGGAAGAGAAGGATGGTTCAAAACAAGGCTTCTCTGTGTAACAACCTTTGATGTCCTAGAACTCTCTTTGTAGACCAGGCTGGCCTAGAACTCACAGAGATCCACCTGCCTCCTGACTGCCAGGATTAAAGGTGTGCACCACCATGCAAGCTCAGCCTGCTTTCTTATACTACCCATTATCAACTTCCCAGGAGTAACAGTCCACAGTGGGCTGGGCCTTCCCACATTAGCAATCAAGACAATGCTCCATAGACACGCCCACAGACCAAATCTGATGGAGGCAGCTCTTCGATTCCCTTCTAAGTATGTCTAGGTCTGTGTCAGATTGACAAAAAGTATGACACCAGGACCATCGACTCTCACCAAATGAGGAAACTAAAATGTAGGGCATCCTGAAGGGTGCAGACATTTGCACAGTTAACTGGTAAAAGGCAAAGCTGACATTGAACCTGAGGCCGACATTTGCACTGGGCAGTGAGGGTCAGTATAGAACTTGTGCTGCAGCTTAGGGTGATGGAAGTGGAAATGGATGAGAGCCACGGCTGCAGAGCCCTGCAAATATGCTTAGTGTCACAAAGTGTGCACTCAACAAGGATTACTATAGTAGCCATTGTCAAACAGTAAACATACAGTTAATGTAAAAAAATATTGATCAGCAAATTTTGACATTAGCTATAAGATGTATTATACCCCACCCTTTGAAGAATTCAATGAGTGGCAATAAAAGTAGCTTCACAAAAAAAAAAAAAAAAAAAAAAAAAAAACACCTGAAGAAATAAAGAACAGGGGCTTACTGCCTTCAAACTCATTGGCTGTATGACCCGGACAGGCTGTTGAGCCCCTCTTTGCTGATTTGTTAAGGGATTCCTCCCCTTCCTCGTGTCTCAGCAAGTTCAACTGAGTCAGAGACAGCACCATCCACAGGGCAGCAACCCCCAGTAGCCACAGACCATCCTGCAGAAAAAGGTAGAGCAGGCCTGTGTTCCAATAACTTTATTCACAAGAGTGTTAGCTACCAGCCCCGGTGTGGACCCTAGAGTTTAATGAGAACTTTGCTATACCATTCTAAGAACTCTGACATCTGCCAGTCCGCTATGCAAGTTCATGAGAAGACAACACGTTCTGGGCAGTTCAGAAGACATACATCAAAGCCAGAGACGAGCGGAGCGCCATCCCCGCAACACATCACCTCCCATCCTCTGGGTCGCCCTCCAAATGATGGGCCTTCTCTCTTCTACTTCCTGCCAGTGTCTTTCATTAAAAGATGTATTTTTGTTATATGTGTATGAATATCGTGCCTGCGTGTATGCCTGTGCACCATATACATGGCCAATGCCTACAGCACCCTGAAAGAAGCCAGGAAGAACCTGGTTGCAGATGGTTGTGAGCTGCCATATGGGTGCTAGGAACCCAAACCAGGTTCTTTTCAGGAGCAGCAAGAGCCATCCCTCCAGCCAGGGTTTGGACACAGCACCCAATTACTTCTCCCGGGTCATCACTGTCCTCATGTTCACTCCGGCCTTCTCCACTTTCAACCCAGGCTCCCAGAGCTACCCCACCCACCCCCGTGCTCTTGTTGCATGTGGCCTCTCTGCCTTGGGCTGCCTGTGGAACCACATAAGCAAAGATAGCACTTCCCCAATGCTTGGAAGTTGGGGGTGGCTGGCCAGCCCAGGAGTCTCTTCTGAGCCTCTAACTACAACAGCCCCAGCGGCTAAGACGCCATTGAAATGTGTCTCCACAGAAAGCAGGGAGACAGTACCTCACATATTGTGCTAGCCCTTCAGAAAGGTGCTGACAGACCGTAGGGGTCAGGGAATCCAGTGGGGTGGCATTTGAGGTAGGTAGAAGGCTCGCTGATCTTCAGTTCGTCATCACGTGATCTGTACCTGCACATACGGCACGGTGTGGCTAAAATAAGCCCTCATGACAGAAGTGGGATGTGCAGTGCAGGCTACCTGCCTTATATAACCCTCCCTCCCACAGAGCACAGAGACTGAACGCCTTTGCCTAGAGACACAGAGCCACTGGAGCTTGTGTTCACCCCATCCAGAACTGCTTCTCGGGATCTTCATTTTAGCTAAAGAAGGACAAGAGAGAGCCACCAGCATGAGCATCTCTTCCGTGACAGAGCTAAAGGACACAGCACATCACACACTTATCACCACAACCATTTAATAAGACAACCACACCTCTGATCCCCGGATAACCCAGTGCAAGAGAAACACTGTCCCCATTTATACAGGAAATGAAGTGGGGCAGGCTCTTGTCCAAGACCTCACAGTAAAGAGAATGAGGACATGAGTCTAGTGAGTCCATTCCATCACCTTGGAGGAGACCCGCCCAGGAGAGTGGACCACAGTAATACTCAGTCTCCCCAAGGGAGGAACCTTCGTCAGAAAGGCCACGTGCCAAATGCCTGCCAATTCCAGCTAAGTGGCAGGTAGGGTCTAAGACATCTCAGTCCCCAGAATCCCTAGTGGGTTAGATCTGAGTGACGGGGGATAACCACACAAATCCTATTGCTGAGCGCGCGTGTGCAGCTCTGGGAGGTACGGATAGGGAGTTGCACAGTCTGGCAACAGAAGAGAAAAGCAAAAACAACCTCCCCCCCCCAAAAAAAAAAAAAAACCCACATGAATAGGAGTTTCCCAGACAGACAAGAGGGGAGCATTATTTCAGAGGGAAGGGAACAAGGGAAAACCATTTTATGTGCAGGAAGCACAGAAGTGGCTGAGACAGGACAGCAGGAAAAGGGATCCAGTGAGCCAGGGAAGCCACTAGTGAGGAACTTGCTGCACAGTAGGGACACTGGGACTCTGATGATGGTTTGTGGCACAGGGAATGGCAGTCTTGTCATCTCCTGTGACCACGGCTCTCTTGAGGATTTCTTGTGAAAAGGACCAGGTGAGGATTACCTCCAACTCTCATGCAGCCCTCAGCAATCCCACCTGGAGCAAGGTCCCTACGAGCACTTTGTGGCAATCAGCTTCACAAAGGAACTCACAAAATGAGCTTTCCCACCCCACCTCACTTCAAACCCGTCCCTTCCAGCTGTCCTGCCCAGCTGATGAAACTGTCCTGGAGAAACAGCCAGCTCCTCCCCCAGCCTTGCCTACACATCCATCAGAGACTCCCAAGTTACAGGAGGTGACATCAGGTGTGGCTGCCCTTGCCCTCTTCACCTGCTTTGGGAGGTGCAGCCATTCACCGGGAAGGCCCGGGGTCATGGGCTTACCACACGGTGAAGCTCTGACTGGCAGCTGGCAAGGAGCTCTGCTTAACTTTGGTCTACAAGGAGCTGGCCAGATGAAGCAAGGGCGTGCCCAAAATGGGAAGAGCAAAGCAAAGGCCAAGGTCAATGTGCCTGAGTGTGCGCTAAAGACAGCACGGTAGACGTTTCTTTGAGCTTAAAACGCTGAGCAGAGACTGGCAGAAAGCCTACTGTGTGGAAAGGGAAGCGAAAGGCTCCAGCCTGGACAGTGGCCTAAACCGGCCTATCCTTGGAATCACGCAGCTGGGAGGATGGAATGATAGAGAGAAGGCCTAGGAATGTGCAGCCCAGCGCAGCTCCCTAACACGAGGCCGAGATCTCCAGCCTGATCCGCAGAGAGGCGCCCAGCACCGCGGAGCTGATCGTAGCGCCTGCCCCGAAATCCCGTGCGCCCAGGGCGCGCCGCCGGGCACAGGGTGGATACCAGCCTTTCTTCGCAGCGCCCCAGCCTTCTCCCCGGCGCACACGTGGGCGGAGCGGTGCGAGGGTGTGCGTAGCCCCTCATCCGCAGCGTGTGCAGTGCGTGGGGTGGGATACCGCCAGGGCGGCCTCCCCCTCCCGGTCACCCCTACACACCCTGGGCTCTCCACTTAGGCGGGGACCTGCAGGACAGGGACCGGCCGGCCAACCACGCCCCCCCCAACCCCCGAGATACTCGCTGAGGAACGGGTGGGTCCCTTCCCACTCCTCAGCTCCGGGACGAGAGGACTAGACGAGTGGAAAGCGAGGTGGCATGAGCGACACAGGGGAGCCAAGGGCAGTGTCCGGAGACCGAAGCCACCAAAGGAAAGGTTGGGGTTCTGGGGAGAGTGGGGGAGGGGAGATGGGCGGGGCTGGGAGGTGGGATGAACGGTGCAGAGTGGCTGTGAGGCGGAGGCTGGGGGTGGGGACCGGGCAGGCAGCACTGGTAATGTCCCCGCCGCAGGGTCCGCCCACAGGGTGCAGTGTCCCAAGACCCCTCCCCTCCGCGGCACACCTGTACCCACCTGCTTGACGCTCCGACCCGAGCCGAGCAGCAGCCAGGCGCTGCATTCTCCGGCCGCCCCCTCCCAGCGCGCGCCTACGCTGCTGTCGCCGTCGCCGCCACCTTAGAAGGGACGAGACAGAACAGAAAATGAATGCATCCAAAAAATAAAAATAAAGAAAACCTGGACCGTAGCCGATGAGGCTCGGCCCGCAGGGGAACCAGTGCGCGATGCGGGAACGGCGGGGACAGGCGCCGCACGTTAGCGGCTGCAGCTTGGTGGGCGCCGGGCGCCGGCTCGCACTGCGGCCCCGCCCCCTCCCTCGTCGTTCCTCCGATTGGCGCATCCTCCTGCCAGTCAGTGGGGAGGGCGTGGCGTCCTCCGGGCCCGAGGCGAAAGCCCAGAGCTACGGTCAGCTCCCGGCACAAGTGAGCTTGCGCACTGGGCCAGGAAGGCCTGGATGCTGCTAGTCCGGACCCGGGGCCATCACAGGCAGGAGCAACAGGGTGACCTGTCTCAGGCCTGGGAAACTCGCCCTGCCCGTAAGGCATCCTGCAGAAGATGCAGGGATGGCTGGGTGTCTGCCCCGCTTTGTGCAGATAGGAAATCGAAGACCGAGGTTAAAGCGAAATGTTCAAGGTCATGTGGTAAGCTAAAGACCCAGGATTCCGACGGTTCTGACATCTCCATCACTGAGCAAAACAGCAGCAAACCTTCATGACAATGCAATGGCAACCGGGTCCTTGCAGGTGGTGTAGCTAGGCAGAGATTCATCTGTTCAGTGTTGGTCTACAGATATGTATTGAGGACCTACTGTGTTGTCCCTAAGATCTAAAGATACCGTGATGGACAGACCTGCAAAGATGGGGAAGAGCATCCATGGCCAAGGAACGGCATCTAAAGACAAAGGGCATATTTGAGAGTCTGAAAAAAAAAAAAAGACTGCCTGTCACAAGAGAGGAGGTTAGAAAGGGGGGGGGGGGGGGGGGAGAAAGGGTTGGGCAAAGGCCAGCACCGTGAAGTCTTATGGGCTACAAAAAAGTATTGGGAGCTTACCCTGAGACTTGTCTCACCTTGGGAAAACTGCTGTCAGATTCACACTTTTTTAATGTACCAGTCAGAATAAACTCTATTGAGTTGAGGTAACAAACAAGCCAGACTCTCACTGGCTTGTTTCCTGTCTATACTATTTATCATGATTGGGTCAGTGGGGCTCTGTTGATGGACATCTGTCACGGGCCATGCTTATGAGACTGGGTCAGAAGGAACACCCACAATTAACAGAGCGGGTTGAAGGAAAGGTGGCCTGGTACAGGTGTTTGTAAAAGCGACCCTCCCACCTCTAAAGCACAACATGCCCCTTGCATTTCATTGACCAGTGTAAGTCACAGGGTTGTACCTGTGAGAGCGCAGAGTGCAGACCTTCTCAGAACCGGGGGTGGAAGACCCAGAATGTTTCTGAGGGACTCCAAGGATGACACTGACAACAGACCCGCTGTAAAGAGAGCATAAACTGAAATGGTGCCAAATAACCAAGCTTGGAACAATGGGAAGGGTGAGGTGGGTGGCAGGACTGTGGGGCTAGCTAGTGGCTTGAACACAACAGGTAGCAGGGACAGTAACAGGGCTGTGGTGTTGCAGAGATGAAGCCTCTCTCTCTCTCTCTCTCTCTCTCTCTCTCTCTCTCCCTCTCTACCTCACAATATGTCCTTGTTTAAAAGCAGGGCGTTGGCAAGTGTCATTAATTAAGAAGAGGTCATCCTGGACTCATCCAATCTGACTCCTATTCCTATGAGAATGGGTGCACAGGAAGGAAATAGTTTGTGAGCCTGGAGGTGTGCCAGAACACCAAAGATCAGCAGACCAGGTTAAGAAAGAAGCAGAGGGGAGGCTTCTGCAACCCTCAGACAAGTCTTCCCTGCAGAGGGCTTGAGGGAGCTAGTCTAGCTTAGAGCAAAGACAGTAAGTTTCTGTTACAGAGCCACTGAGTTTACCCTATTTGATACATGTGTATCAGTTACAGATTGTGTTTGGCCACAAGTTATTCAGACCTCTGTTACACAGTAAAAAATTGTTTTGTTTTGTTTTCTTTTTTCTCACTTAATAAGAAACCCAAGGCAAGCCAGTCCTCACTTTCTCATGTCATCCCCTTGGTCAGAAAGGGATTTCCTTCCTCACAGTGTCTTCAAGGTGGCAAGGTGACTGCCTGTCTGCTGAATCCTATCTCTATTCCAGTCAAAAGAGGAAGATACAAGATGCACACACACATACCTCACAGCTCCTTGCAACAATTTTTCTGGAAATTCTTCCAGAGACTCCTATTTGGTATGTTTGGTCAGAAAAGCGTTGTACAAGCCCTCTGACTTCAGAGGAAATTTTCTTCTTCTTTTTTTTTAATTTAAAGAAGAATTTTTTTCAGATGCATGAAAAAATGCAGGTTTCTGCTAATGGGTAAGAAAAAGAGGATGGACGTCTGTGTGGTGCATGAGTTTCATGGTGCCCAGAGCTTCTAAAATCAAGAGCCCTCCCTAAGAAGAATGAGAACTACAAAGTTCTGTGCAAGTGACAGTATTCATTTAGAATAACTGGGGCTATGGAGATGGTTCAGTGGGTAAAACTGGTTCTGATGACCTGAGACCCCATATTGTGAAAGAAGAGAACCAACTCTCACAGTGGTTCTCTGACACACACACACTACACCTGTAAACACAGATACTCTCTACATACACTCTAAGACATACATACATACATACATGTAAATTTATTTTTATTTAGAATAACAATGTACAACAAATTTTACTTTGTGTACATAGACACCACAAACATTACAAGACTCAGAGAAACAGTATAATAATTGTATTAGTTATCCACCTGACAGCCAGTCTCATTATAGTAGTATCTTTTGGTACTTTCTTTTCTTTTCTTTTTTTCCTCCATCTGTTTTGAGCAACTTCATGAGATAATGATTTGGTAACACCCTTTTCTATGCAGAAAGTATAGGAACAAATCATTCTGAGTTCTGTAAGAAGAGCAGAGGAAACTTTTTTTTTTTTTTGAGACAGAGTTTCAGAGTTTTTCTGTATATGTGTAGCCCTAGCCGTTCTATAGAATTTACTCTGTAGACCAGGTTGGCTTTGAACTCAGAGATCCGCCTGTCTCTGCATCTTGAGTGCTGGTATTAAGGGTGTGCACCCTTACCACCTCCACCACCTCCACCACCAGGCTACAATAGGGGGAAACTTTGATGCAGATAGAAAGGCTCTCCTGACTCAGACTCATAATTATGAGTGATATGCACGTTTTCAATATTATTCTCAAAAGTCAGGGAAGACTGGAATCTTTCCTTCAGAAATGAATGCTTAACGGGAAGTTAGTTATTTATTATAAACATGTTATACACGGTGTCTCACTCTGTCTTTGTTGTTATTCTAAATTAAAACTAACTCTGTGTGTGTGTCCGTGTGTGTGTATGTGCGTGTGTCAGAGGACCACTGTTGGAGTTGGTTCTCTCATATCACAATGTGAGTCCCAGGGTTTGAACTCAGATTATTAGACTCAGTGGCAGTTGCTTTTATACATTGAGCTATCTCTCCGACCCCAGTTATTCTAAATTCATATTCATCTTGCACCTACATTAGAATTTATGTCAGTTCTCCTTCCTGAGCCTCCAGAGTGATGGGGTAATGAGCATATGACAGCACATAACTAGGTATAAACGTTCATGAGGAGAGGCATCTATCTGACAATTGCAAACAGAAGGTGAGCAGGCCAGCACTTCCAGTCCTGGGTCCCGTCTCTGCCACCTAGAAAGAAAGAAGGAAAAAGGCAGGTGCCTGAGCATCCCGAGGTCCACTGAATGAGAAGTCACAGTGGCGTATCATGGCTCATAGTTCTGCAGTGCCCTCACTCCATTCTGAAGCCTGTTGATGCTGGCAGTGTGCATTCACTGGCTCTAAGGTCACCCAGTTGACTCTGGCAAGCTATGTGCTAATCCTGGCCAGGGTATTTCATCACGCCAAAAGGAAATAAAACTCAGACAACACTGCAGGTATAAGGCTATATGAGCCCACCCATCAAGCCATCCCAGCCCTCAAAAGGGGCAATGCTTCACCTCTTCAGTTTGAAGGTAAATCTACCATAATGTGTGGCTGCCATACAAACCTCAATAAGGTCTGGTGAGAAATGTGTCACCATGCTAGCCTGATAAAGGACAGGAAGCCGGGCCCAGTGCAGCCCTGGCACTGTAGTCTATGGTCCCCTGTCCTGAAGTGCAAGGCTCACCCAATGACACTCAAAGTGTTTCCAACAGAAGGGTACCTTCTGAGAAGTTCAGAGAGTCACCCTGGGGCGGGAGGTCCACTTCTGAAAGAGAGGAGGATTTCAGAGGATCAGGAACCAGAGAGAGCCTGGTAAGCAGGCAACTCTACAATTGCCTTAAAATGGAAAGGGCTCTTTAAAAGAATCGATCATCCTCCGATAACCTTGAAGGTAGTTCACTGAGGCTCTTGTTCTGCTCGCTGTCCTTTTCTGGGGGCAGGGTGGTGAGGTTAGGGCCTGCAGGCTTTCTCCATAACTTAGGAGAGTCAGCAGCAGGGGTGTGTGAGCCTAGTTTGTTCCTCACAGCCAGGCCACATGGCTTCATTCTGGGAGCTGCAGGTCCCTCTGACAGGACACTGCTTCCTCGGTCCGCACCTTTAAATGGGTGTAGTTTGCTTTCTGTGAGTTCTGTGGAACGATTTAAACAGTGCAGGCAGTTGTGGAAAGGAGAATGAAGGCTACCTCCCAGGATAAGTTTATAAAGCCTTAATAACCTTGCTTCAATGTCT